GGAGGGAATGGACTCTGCTTCTCGTCCCTCTGAGGCTGCTGGGCACAGGTATTGTGCCTGCTGCTCTGGTYTGGGGCACAGGGAACACGGGGCTGCTTCTGCTTCCACCAAAATCCACGAGAATCTTTGCAGCAGCTTCTGAGTGTTTTAGGTCAGGCTTTTAGACACCTCATCACTCCGTACTGTGATTCTCACCACCCACATACCCTTCCTTTTTCACTTGGCAGCACAGGGAGACAAGGTGGAAGMAAATGTGCCGTTTTACCTGTAGTCTGGTGATTTAAATTGCCCACTCCCAGCCTGGCACTGTAAATCCTCTCCTGCAGCTGGAGAGCCCCGTTTACTACAGCGGGTTTCCATGGCAATCCTGTGCTCTCCCACATTCCACTGCACASTGCAGGCAGCCCCCCCTTTTCACTTCAGATTCCATTCACACAATCTCCTATTGATAGGAAAAAAAAGCCCAAATGGGCCATGGATGGCTATTTCCTATCTTGACACACTTTTCCCCAATAACTGGCTGATGGATCTGTATTTTAGCACATCAAGAGAACACTTGCCCTTTGCCAGACATCACTTGGCAGGCAGCATAACATCCAGATATTCTGAAGGTCTACTTCTATCCTGACACACATTACTCCTGTTATTTTAGGACATCAGTAGGAAAATACAAGCTWGATATTCCCTTTGTGTTTCTGGCTGTCAGCCAAGCAAAGGAAGCGTGTCTCTGTCGCAGCAAATCCTCCCCTGAGCTTGGGCAGCCTGGTGGCAGCCTCCCACCTGCATTTGAGCTGTTCTCAGCACTCAGGRACTGAGGGGATGGCACAGCCCATGGGAAAAGGAGCTGCTGGTTCCCAAAAACATGAGAAGAAATTAGGAATTTCGTCTGCTAGGGCTGAAAGCAAAAAGAGGAAATGTTATCAGTGGTACTGGCAAAAATCCTGCAGCCAGGGTTGGCCTCCTCCCCTGTCTCTGGGTGTTTTACATGAACACTGATATCTCACAACATTACCTGTGAGGAAGAAATTTGTGTCTTATCTCAGGAACTGTGACATGGCACTGTTAATGCATCAGCCCATTTGTCTCAGTCTTATTACACAGCTGATTTGAGAGATGATAAGTACTGTTAAAAATTACTTCAAAGCATAGTGGTCGCCTAAGCTCCTTGCGGGTTCAAATCAAATCCCAATTTATTAAGTGTCTTTATCTCTGTCCCTTTTCCCTTCASGTGGTGTTTTGTCAGAGATTCCAGYRGGTGCARGACTGGGGCCTTGGCTGTCAGACTTCAGAGCAGTGCACTTGATTTTTTTATCAGCTGCCTCTTCCCTCCATATRCTCACTATAAAATTCATGTCACATCCAGCTTGTAATCGAAGTCTGGATTTGGGCTTCRATTGTTTGCTAACTGAGAATTGCTGGGAAGATGGTTTACAATGAAAGTTGCTTAGTCAGGCACCGTAAAATTCAACAAAGAAATACCATTTTCTTTCCTTTTAGCTGGACAGGTTTCCCAGAAGTGAGGGAACCCACAATACTCCCACAAAGCCAGCCACAGGGAGCAAACCAGAGAGAGAATAAAGGACTGTGTCTGCCAGAGCTGTGGGCTGTTTGTGAGATTCTTGGAGSGTGCTAAAATTTCAAAACACTGAGACTTAGGAGGAATTTCTGGTTTTGGTTCACATACATCTGCACTTCCTGAATTTTGCTAGACCTKGGGTGAAGTATTTCCTAAACAGTGACAGTGCACAGCAACAGAAACTGAAGCCTCTGGGAGGTGAGTCCACGTCAAACAAACCTCCAGACTCCAAACAGCCTCGTACAGGTTGAGTAAATACCAAACCCATTTGCCTTTGCCTTGCAAACACCCCAGAAATCCACACTGGAGCTCTGAGTGCCACAGCATGGCAGAGTTGGGGGTTTCTTGCCCCATTCACCATCGTGTGTGCAAGTGGAAAGTGCTGGTTGGGAAAAGAAAGGCTCACAATGTGCAGGACAATGTGCTCCTCATGGGATAACCCCATGTGGGGGATCAGCTGGGCCTCCCTTGGTAGGTCCTTAGATGAGAAATTCCAGAAAAAACCTAAAACGGCTTTTGTAAAACCTCCTCTGAATATGCCATAGCCTGTTGTCTGATTTGCTAAAATGAGTAGGTGGTATTTGGGGAAATTCAGAGTTTGGGGGCTGATGCATCATAAATGCCATAGGAGTGAAAACACAGGGTCTATTCCTGCCTTGGCTCCATGTGACAGCAGCCGTGGAGTCAGCAGGACAGAACTGACCAGGACTGGCTCATTTTGCCCATACAGATCTAAAAACACAAACCCTGATGGATTTGCTCCTCTTTGCCTCAGCTCACACTTGGCTCCCTGACTCGGGAGTTTCACACGCTGCAGAAGTGGGATTTGGCCCAGTGATCGGTTTCACTTCATCTCTCAGCAGATTTGTGGTCTAACACTCCAAGATGTGCAGCATAACACAGTGGCAATCTGTCACTCTCCTGGCTCCTGTCAGCTCCAACAGCTTGCTGAGAAAATACCGAGCCAAAATAGAYGCCAGTCCGACCCGAGGGACCGGAGAAGCGTCGCCTGCCGAGAGCTCAGCCTGTCACAGCACAGTCATTCCTGCTCCACTTGGCTCTTCCACCATTCCAGCAGGCTGGGACCAGCCCTGAGCTTTCCTGTTTGATGTCACAGCTTCCCAAACCTTCCCTGGGCGCTGCTGAAGTTGCAGTCTGTGTTCTCTCCCCTCTTTGAGGCTGCCCCTGAGCCCCRAGACTGCAATTAGGGCTCTTATCACTGGTGCACCCGGAATAGCTGTGGCTCCTCTCTTGGACAGGCTCTGCATTCCCAGCACTGAAACCTTTAATCAGGCCAGGACGTTGGCTTGGAACAGCTTGAAACGAGAACTTTGTGACTCCATTCTGCAGCTCAGGAATTCCTTGTTTGGTTAGACTTGAGAAGCTGAAATGCTGGGGATATCTGGGCACAGGCTCCGAGCACGGACATTTATTAGATTAGGCTGAGTCTGCTTCTTCAAGAGGGCTTGTCAGAGACCGCAGGGATCCGTGGGCATGAAAGGATGTGATGCCAGCAAGAGCCTCACCCTCTGAGTACTTTCCAGTAATAACCAGCACTTCCAATCCTGACATTGCTGCTAAAAGCTAATTWGTAGAGTTATAAAGAATGAGCAAATAATTGAAGATATAAACCAGAAAAAGGAGCCGGATTCAAAATAAACTAAAATGCTGGCAGAACAGCACRCAGTTCTCTCTGCTCTGCAGTGGGGTGGGAGAAGGGGATACAAGGACTTTTCTTGGGGTACTCACTGCAATTCAACCCACAACAGTGGTAAGTGAGGTGAGAAGAAATGGGGTTTTTACCTATTTGAGCTACAGTTTTGGGGGTTTGTAAGAGATGCATTGTCAGGCCTCAGTCTGGGACATCACAGCTCACTGAAGTCCACCAGGTGCTCCATCAAAAGCATGAAAACRAAAAGGAAAGCRAATCGCYGCTGTGGTGAGARTTTTGCTGCTGCTTCCCAGCGCTGTCTGCCTTTGCCCAARGTGGCACCTGCCKCTCTCCTGRGCTGTCCCGGCAGGAGCTGGGGCCRGGAWCMTCCCAGCACTGAGTGCYKCAGCTCCGCTGTGCAGGCTGCGTTTGCCCTCTGCTGTTGGCTCATCAGACTGTTCCCTCCGGATCACCCAAAACCTGTGCAGGACCCGGAGAACCTGAATGCTTACCCACATATGTGAAATACTCACACGTAAAAGGTTGTGAAACTTAAAATAAGTGACTCCCACGAAAGGGGAAAAGCCTCATCTGAGACTTTAGTATATGTTTATCTTATATTTTCAAGCTTTTGCTTCTAGAATCTCAAAATTAAGCCCCCTGCTCTCTTGAAAGCAGGGATTCAGGTGAGACTGGGAGCAGGATGGAACACTGGGTGAGAACCCAGGAGAAGGTGTGGGGAGAGATGCTCTGGAATGGGAAGAGCTGCTCTGCCATGRGGAAAGATGCCCTGGGATGAGGACTCTGGGAGCTCTGGTCTCTCTCCCTGCCCTGGCAGATCCCAGAAGTGCAGATCTGTTCCCACCTGAGCTCCAGCCCTGTCCTCTGCAGCCACCCAGCCCTGCCAGCGGTCACTGCCAGGATGCCAAACGTGCTGCAAGGGACACAAGGGCTTGCCACGAAATCTGCTGGCACCTCGCCACGTGTTTGCGAGCTGAGATCAGCATTCAGGCTCCTCTTGTTGCTGTTTGTTTTCTCCTCCGCTCCCGACAGCCTCTCCCTGCKCTGCGGCTGCTGTCGCCCTGCACAGAGGGGCACAAACAAAGGTGTGGCCATGGCTGAGCCCTGGAGAGGCTGCTGGGGCTCCTCTGGTCCTTCCAGGACTCGTGGGCAGGGCAGGGACTGACCTGGGAKGTGTTTTTTGCGCGTTCCCAGCTGGGAGTAGAAGCTGGTACCTRTGGATGGCTCAGCCAGGGAAGGAGCAGCACATGGGATGTTCAGKGCTGGGATCGCTCCCACACCTCCCTTTGGAAGTGCCTTTGGGATCAGCCACTCTTGAAATACTGCAGGTCATCTCCAAAGAGCTTTTGAACAGCTCCTAAGTGGAGATTTTGTTCCAGGCATGGTTGAGGCTTCAAAAGGTAAGTGTTGAACTGGCAGGAACGGGGGGATGGATGGAGGAGGGAGCTGATTTTCCCGACTCTCTGACCCCTCCTGAGCTCCCAGGCAGCTCTGCAAAGTGCACTGACCCAGAGCAGGACATTGTCCAGCTCTGTCATATCCCTGCCCCTCCTAAGACTTCTTCACAAGGCTGAGAAAATTAATAACAGCAGGTAACATTTGCAAACACCACAGAAATGTAAATGCTGTGGCTCTTCATGGGCAGTCAGCAATAAGAGATGGGAAAATTATATTTATATCAGCATATAAATGCCCTGGGCTGTTCTCAGAGGGCAGCAGTGACCTGTCCTTTTGCATGGCTGTTTCAGACATGGACACCAAGCAGCCAGAGCTGTAGCAGAGCTGAAAGATGGAGAAGAGCTTTGCCTCTGGAGAATTGGATCCTCTAACTGGTACGTGGTTAATGATCTTCCACTTTTCTCAGCACAGTCACAGCAGAGACTTGGGTAACTTTATTTTAAATCCAGGATTTATCGSTTGTGGAAAGACTTTAGTGCTTAGTTTAATCCGGATTGTGTGACTTCAGGCCCAATGGAGCAAATATTTGGAAGTTTGGAGAGTGCTGGGCGGTTTTGTAACTGTTCACAGCTCTCACAGCCACACCARCCTCCTCATTTCATGCTGTTTTCTAAAGAAGGCTGCTCTGTGAACCTTCCTCAGTCTGAAAGCATCACAGCTCMGTTTCTGTAGAATGTATTCAATGAGTTCACAGCAGGAGTTTCTCTGTATCTGATGTGTCACTTATTTTTTTTTTTCCATAAAAAGACACGAGCCATTCTTTCATGATTAATCCTGTATGGGATTTTTTTTTTAAACCAACTACTACAAATAGTACTGAATTGGGAAATTCAGCTAAGTCTTTTTTAAATGTGTGCTACTATCAGCAAGGATTTTGCTGGATAAGCACTAGCACAGCCCAGAGAGCATTAGCTCTGATGGAACTGAGCACACACTGAGATACAAAAGCAGCCCAGACACAATTTGTCAGGAGCAGTTCTGTGTTTCAGCCACCAGCTCAGTGATCTATTCTGGCTCAAGCATGAGGGGAAACTGTCAGTAGTGAAGACACGTGTGAAGAGATGCTAAAACATCTTCCATCTCTTGATTCCACAGCTGTGGCCTTGGCTTGGAGGAGTCTGCAAGAAGCCAAAGCAGTGGTAGGTGCAGTTCAGGGAGCACTTGCTGTCACACCCCTCTATCTCTTTCTGTCAGCTGCCTGTGCATCACCTCCATGSCTTAATTCCRTGGAAATATTGTATTTGAAGGCAAYRTAAACCTGCCAYTTGTTTGTTCTTTTCCAATAAATATGTCACCTCTTTATTTGCTAAATAACAAAGAGAGGATAGGGGRAAACAAGGAATTTTACCCCATTTCACAACACTCAGAAAATGAATAACGAGAACAGACAAAGCTTGAAGCCCTGAGCAGAAAAACAGCTGACACTGAGCTGGGACATCCTCTGGATTCTCCCTGTCCTATCATCCTCTCAGTAGGGAACACGATGGTGTTGATCCCAGGCACAGCAGYTGCCATCAAAACTGACATTCCTTGGATAAATTCATAATGTTATCCAAATCCATGGGGTGCTGCTTGCACAGCAAAGGCCCGACAGCAGCATCCCACTGTTGGAATTGCTCTTGGCTGGGGTCACTTCCAGCTTAAGCTGTTTTTAAAAACATCAGTAAAAATCTGAGGCACACATCCATGCAAAAAATAAATRAGGGAGAGAGGTGATTTCACTTCTTATCTTCCCAGTCAATTGCATTCTTTCCAGCTGTAGGAAATACCACATGGAACATGCTCAGACAGGCCAGTATTTACACAGTAACTAGGAGCTGCAAAATTAATCAGAGAAACAGTGGATGCCAGCAAAAAGCTATCCCAGAATAAACCAAAACATATGTCTCCCTTCAAAAGAAAAATCTGCCTTTTCACAGCTACAAAGGATTGAAAACAAATTTTATCATCAAACGTGGAGTTGTGCCAAATCACAGGCAGCCAGAAGAAAGCTTTGGCACAAAAAGAGCTTTGGTGAGTTGTGAGTTACTGGGAAACCGCTGAGATGGGGCTGCTTTGGTGCTGGAGGGAAGGGAAGGTGACAGGAGATAGTGAAAACCCCTCTTTATTGAGGCAAGTGTATATTTTCATCAGCTTTCTGTAGTGTTCCCAGCAAAATATGGCAATGCACGGGAAGTCACACCTCGCTGGGGAGAGCTCAAGCAAAAGCTGCAGAATTAACACCCACAGCTACAGCACAGTAAAAGCTCCCTGTGCTTCTCCTCTGAGGGTTTATTCCCTAGAGATAACTGAAGTGATGTAAATACAGCGTTTTTTGTTTGCTAACTTTGGTAGGAATATATAATGTGTTTAAAATGATTTCTAAAACGATGAAGTGGGAGAAGAAAAAAAGCAGGAAATTTAACCCAATTCCAGAACACTCTTAAAAACTAATGGTAATAACAGATTTCACTTTCTTGCTAATGTTGGGTATTTGTTTTTGAGGTGGTTTACACAGTCTCAACTGCCAGCCTTTAATATTATTTTGATATTTATGGGCTGGATTTGTTTGGGGGATAGCCCCAGTAAAAATTGCTGTTTGAATTTAATGGTTAAGGAATATTTTTGACATTTTGACATTGACACAGTTTTGATGTGTTGTAGATGGTGAGAGGAACAAAGATGAAACAGCTTTGAGTGAGAAAGAGAGCAGTGAGAGTCCTCCAGCCCACAGGTAAATAATAACCTGGGTGTGCAGCAATTGGGGGATGAGTTGGTGAAGGTACACAGAAAGGGATTTAAAAATCTGGGATGCAGAACTTCAGAAAAGGTTTAGAACCTTACTGTTTATTAGGGGAAAAAGGAACAAAAGAGTCACCAAAGAGTTCCACCCTCAGTTGTGACAAACAAGGCAGCAGAGGAAGGCAGTRCCTGATATCAGTTCTCTGCCCATGCTCATAATTACTCTTATCAGATCACAATTTGCACTRTGCTTTCCTAATATTATCTTCATTTACCAAACTGCTGGTGACTGGCAAAATGCTGCTTCTGTGGAGACCTCAGTCACCATCAGAGCATGTACAAACTCTGCAGTCATTCACATCCGTGTATTATCAATTTAACCATGCCTCCTGCATATTGACCCTTGTTTCTCTTTTTCTTCAGGAAGGGAAGCTGTGCTGTTCTCTCCTCTGCTTGCCCACAGCCCTGTTGGCCTGAGAGCCCTGCTGTGATCTCTGACCCCTCCAGAATGACCCTTCTGTCCCCCAGGGCAGTCTCAGGACCTTGCAGCCCTGCCTGGAACTGGGCTGTGGATGGTGAAAGCTCAGCTGGGATGTGGGTCCCTGCAAAGAACCTGAACAGACCAAGGAGGGACAATTTCAGGGAGCAGGGAGGTTCAAGAGGTCACACAGTGCAGAAGGAAAAATTTCCCTGTTCCCTGCATCACCCACCTCACCCCCATGCAGGGAGCAGCTCATTCTCTGTCCCATGGGGCAGCAGCACTCCTGTACCTCCAGCTCTCCTGCTCCCCACATCCCACCTTGCAGCAGCCAGCAAGGCCAGAGATCAGAAGCAAGAAGGACTGTGGATAAAATCACCCCAAAATAAGTTAGAGCAACTCAAGAGGAAGATCCAGGAGCAAAAGAGAAAGCAGCATGCAGCACCTCGGGGGCAAGAGCGCCTGATTTCTGCTAAAGAGCCCTCACCAAGGAGAGCTCTGAAAAGAAAGGTGTGCAGAGTGGCCTCTGCTCCTCCTGCTCCAGCTCACAGAGGTCAGTGTGGTCTGGAACCTATGGAGAAAGGCTGGRACTGGATATTCTCTAGCACTACTTKGGYTYAGCTGAGTCACTTAGCACAGATTCCAYCACTCCCTGTGGTGTCTGTGGGGCATCACCCACGTTCTTGTGATAAATCCATTTCTTTCTGCAGGTACAAACCTCTCTGTGCTGTCCATCCCACTCTGCTTGCTGAGTTCACTTCCCCACTGGATTTACTTCCCAGCACACACAAATTCATACATCTCTTTCTGCAAAATAGTAAACAATTTTCTGCAAATCTATTATTTTCTCCCCTTTCCTCCCACATCCTTCCTTTTGCCACATATAAAACATGGAATAGGAGCCAGCAGTATAGYAATGAGGAAAGGCAGGTATTTAAAGCAGGAATTGTGTAGTTCAGAGGCATTACAGGGGATTTAACAGTTCATTCAGTGCAGATGAATTCAGAACCGGTGTGGATCCGAAAGCAAATATTATTAGACCTCCTTATCCTGCTTTGCTGCTAAATTTGGGGCTGYAGAACCATCCATCTAGAGCTGTCACTTTAGTTTAGTGTGGTTTAAGATCTGGGATTGCTGTTAGCGAGGCACAGAGTCAGGAGCAGAGCCTGCCTGGGGCCAGCCCCGCAGCCTCAGCCGAGGGATTACTGAGGAAATACAGGCCAGGAGGAGCCGAGCTGAAAAGCTGCACATAATCAATCTCATTGCTGTAATAGCATTAGAGTTAATTCACGRGGCACTGGGATCCCTGTCACACACTGCCAGCTTCCCCAGTGGATCTGCTCCCTGTCACCTTTAACGGGGATGTTGTGGTGCTGCTCTCACATCTGTGGGACCCACATGTCCCATTTCCCCTTTCCTGCTGCAGCAGGCAGTGCTTGCTGTCACAGTGGCGGCTGTTACCCCTCCCAAAACCAGAAGCCAAAGCCACAATCTGGGCTGAGCTCTCTGGGATATTCCCAAGGGAAGCCTTGTTTAGTTTGTTTTTAACCCAGAATGTTTTATGTAATTGAGTGAGGGAACTGCCAGACAAACTGTTGGACATGCAGGACAGACACAGATCTGAAGCTGGGGATTTACAGCTCCAAACTCTCCTTTCACTCTGTCTGCCTGTWCTCTCCTGCTGCAATAAGTGTGTCACAGCTGTTCTGTCAGATATTCCCTGGTCACACACYACAGTCCAGCCTCAGGAGCCCAGTGCTGCTCTCCAGGAGCTCAGTGCTATTGAACACCAACATCTGCACAGCTCCTTGTAGCCTAATGCCTCTCAAACATCTGTTTGGCTGGGGTTTAGTGCTCTGAACCCAGGGTCTGCCTTCTCCCTGCCTGATGAAGGGCACAGAACACCAGGCAGAGGAGGATTTACCATCACTGGACAAGGAAGGGATTACAAAAGAGCCCTCGTGATCACAGGTTAGCGATGAGATATCACAACAGTTTGTTAGAGGAAACTTCCCCAAGTATTCAGTGTTTGCTCTGCACGGAAAGGTTGGTCTGGATCTCCAGAGACACCAAGGGGGACATGTCACACAGGATCCACCAGTTATGTCAGGGCTGTTTGCCCACTGAGCTGTTGTGTGGATAGACAGGGTCATGGATACAACCTCAGGGGTGGATCCAGGCCAATGCTTCCTCTGCTGGAACATCCACACCACAAACATCAAACAGAGGAGTCCTGCTTGTTTGGTGACCAGTTTCAATAAAAAGACTTCAGCTTTTGCATTCCAAGGGAATGGGGTTGGGATTGGTTTGTGGGTTCAGCAGTCATGACTGAAGAGTGATTTTAGCTGCGCAGTAATTCATTTGTGTTTTATTCTCCCCTCCTGATCAAAGATCAAAGAGAGAGAAGCTCAGCGTGGAGAATTCAAACAGAACACCAGAGACAGCCTTCACCCAAGTCCTCTGCTCTGGAGAAAGCAGTGGCAGGGAAAGGTAAGGCTGAAAACCATGAGAAATTACAAGGACTGATGGACAGACCTGCCTGCAGCTGGTGGATCTCAGACCTGCCAGGATTAAAAAKCATCAGAAATGAAAAATAAGTCATACATCCTCAGTGGGAAGAGCTGTCTGTCACCTATTCAGGTCTGTGTTCCCTAATGAATTAAGTGCCACCAAAGGCAGGGATTTCCTGGCCTGCCAAGCAGGGACCAAAGAAAGGCAGTGAAAAGTTGGATGGATTATCTGAGCATCAATGGCTCGTTCTCAGTTTTACTTGACAGGTAATTCTAAGGGCARGTTTGAATTCCTGGTGTAATTTTACCCATTTTGTGGGCAAATTCTTTGCACAGAAGTGGTTGCATTCAGATGTTGTGAGGAACAGGTGGAAGTGCTCTGGGTTGTACTTTACACCAGCCAAGTTACCAAATGAGTAACTTGTGTGGAGCAGAAAGAAAATAATCCAAGCTCTCTAATCCCATGCAGATGGAATTAYGAGCATAGCAGCATCCTGTGCTCAACTACCTAAATATGATTTAAAATGCATGAAATATGTAATAATTTCCTTCTCCCTCCTCTTTTTTTTTTTTTTGTTTTAATGGATTGTTTGAAAAATGGCTTGATCTTCCTCTGAGAGTGGGTCATAATAAGACCATGCCACGTGAAGCATTCATCATTGTAACTGCCAGTGTCATGGTGTCTTTATTGGCTATTAGTTTCTGTCACTGAAAGAGCCAAGGCAGGGCTATGAAGAGATGAATGAGGGGCAGGGGTCAGAGCCAGAGTACTCARGAATTTGATGAATTATAAATTTGCTGTAGTTAACAAAAAATTAAGTCACCGCGGCTATAAAATATTCATCCGTTCGTAGGTAGGAAAAACCCAGGAGAATATTTAAATCAAAAGATTTTCTTCTATCAACTGTTCTCATCAGGAATGCAGGCTGCTCTTGAACTTTAGCATTATAGTTTTTGTAGTTAATGAACACGATGCAGATAAAAAAAAACCCATTTAATTGAAATCAAACAACATGGTGAGGCAAAGATTGTGAGATCCATGTATTATGTTGTCTGATGCTTTCAGAGAAACTAAGACAGGCTACAGAATAAATGCACCCTGCATTTTTAGTATTCCTGGAACAAAACAAAGTGATAGAGCAAGGTGTTTCCTAAAGACATGGATGGATCCCAGCCCTCCTGAGCCCAACAGACTCTGGCAGTTCCCTCTGTGTTCCTGCTGTGAACACCATGCACAGATCTGGTGATAATTCCTCTGAAGGCTTCCAGAAGAAATCCATGGGATGATAGGAAGTGACTTCAGTCCCACAGGGAGTGGGACTGTTTTTCCTTGACTGAAAAACATCATTCCCCTTGTGATATGACCTAAACCCACAATTGACATGAGCCTCCAGAGCATCTCAGAGGCTGCTGCAAATGAAAAAATAAAAACAAGTGGCTGTGACTCCATCTCCACTGTGGTACCTTACACTATTCCCAAATCAGTGGGGAATCTCAGGGAAATCCCACTGACCAGTCTTTGGGAAGTCCTCTGTGTCCACAGCTCAGTGCACAGACAAGATACTGAGCAGCAGCTGGAAAAGCCTCATTCAGTGAGCACTGGATCACATGAGCTGAGGCTGGTACTGATTTCACAGTAAAATCTTTCCTATTAAAAAAAATAGCTTGAATATTTTAATTGGGGGAGATTTTGTAGGGGAGAATTTCCATGCAAGACCCAACTCAGTACCTGTTCAGCCACCTTGTGCTGGAGAAGTGTTTGCAATAAATATGTAATTGTGCAAGTATTGGCATGCTGTGAATGCAATCTGAAATTATGAAGTAAAACAGTGATAAATGTTGTCTATTATGTGACACCACCTATTAAGCAAGAGTAATCTGTGTGTGCTGCATTCTGCACTGTTTATTTCTGCATTATACATTGTCCCTCGTCCTGTATCCTCCATTGATTCTTCCACACCACATCCTGCTGATTCTCACCGGTTTAAAAATGRATTTGTTTGCTCTGGTGAGTGTGAAGTAATCACAAAGAAAAGACCAATTTTGTTATCCCTTTCAGTTCTCAAATATGCTGGTACCCAGGAAGCCCTGACCTTTTCTCAGTGTTCTTGAGGCCTCTGGGAGTCAGTGATTTCTGGGTAAAACTTCTAAGAATTGTGTGAACATACTGCAAKTGTTAGATTATATAAATGCTGATGGTAAAGTCTTAGGAAACCACTGAACCTTCCTTCATGTGTAAAGTTCATGAGCTCATCTGATTCATGACCTGGTAGCCTTGCAAAGTCTGAGTGCTTTAAAAACTTTTTGTTATCAAAGTAGCACCAGACTTTTCTTTTAAACATCCTCTGACTGAATATTTTTAGATCTCCCCACACCTTGAGTGTGATTTCTGGAAATCACCATTAAATAGACTTGAATAAGAGAGTTACAATATTCTTTTGAAGAACRTGGGGGTGTAATAATCAAACACAAACCCTCTGTTTCAGGTGTGAATCTKCCTGGTGTTTCTGCGTGGAGAGAAGGTCAGAAGTTGGCCAGAAGGCTGCTGGGYCCACCCCCTCCATTTCCACATTTGAGGAGCAGAACTGGAGAGCAGAGCACAGCAAAGACCTTCGGTACAGCTGCCCCTCTACAGCACTGGCTGTTTTGGCAAACAAACAAAAATGGGGTTTATTAAACCTGGTTGAAACTAAAGCTTTCCTTCTGAGCACCTTTCTCTAATGGCTCTTGCAATAAACATTGGCCACTGCTGCTTCAAATTTCACCTTTCAGATTTATCTTCTCCCTTGAACATCACAGATTTTATGACAGACACATGAAGATAATCCTCAGAGCTGCAGTAGGGAGCAGGTTGATACACAGTGTAGGCACAGGAATTGATACTCTCTGAAATAATAGCRCTGTTGTGTTATTAATGATTATAATTAAATAATATAATAATATTTGTTGTTTTCAAATGCTTCCCACAGAACYTTGGGGAAAAGGTGGAGGACTTGGGGCAATGGCAGTGACAGAAAACAGTTCCAAAGTAAAGGGAAATGAACCTGTGGGGAAGAGCCCTGGATTCCAAAGCTCTGYGGCTGCTCCCAGCAAGGCTGAAAGGGGCAGCAGTGCACCAGCAGAGGGTACAAACCAAGCACTCAGGAACCTTCTCTTGCAAAGCCAGTCCTGTAGTGAAAACAGACACAGCAGGCTCCCCAGAGAGGCTGTGAAACAGCAATCCCTYGGGATCCATTCTCCTTCACCCGGATTTTGGGGCATAACTCCCKCTGCCTTCAGTGGGGAAGGGATGAAACCTTCATTAACGGAAGATGGAGCCAAACCCAGCGCCCCAGGAAGCTGCAGCAGAGGGAAAAGTGCATTTCCTCAGAGACAGAAAGGGTCTGAGAAAGAAAATCTTAAGCAACCTTCGAAGAGGAGGGCAAACCTTAAAAAACCTCACCCTTACAGCCCTGAAAGTGTTCGGGAATTCATGTCTCGAAAAAAGGAAGAAAGAAAGAAGAAACTCCTCGAAGAGAAAAAGTCTTCAGCTCAGGCTGCAGAGATGAGGAAGAAGAGGTTGCAAGAAGTGTACAGGAAGCAAAAGGAAGCTGTTGGGAAGAAATGCTGTCCTGACCAGATGCACAAATCCCTTGGGAAAACRGGTTCTGCTGAAGGAAATCCTCAGTGTGAACTCGAGCAGGTAAGTCCTAAGGAGTGGCAGATTGAAACTCCTCCAATCTTGATCAGTGCAGCACCATGTAGGACATGAAACACCTCATACAAACGCTTTGAAGTGCTAGGGGGAAAAAGTTTTATCTAGAAAAATAGAGCAATTAGCTTATAATTATGGCATAAACTGCTGCGATCATTTRTAAGGCTGGAACGCTCAACTTCAGGCCAAAAACCTGGAAATCTCCATTGCCTGAGCTAAAAGAACAGGTTTGTTCTGTGGTATGAGCAGTTTTCCAGTTACATGAGCCAATTATTAAGTGGAATAAAAGCCAGATATCAGGGTTCTGCTGCCAGCTGTTGAGTGCTTACACTTATGAGCTCTTCTCTTTTAGGAACAAAGCAGTGGGGGAATTCTGGAAAGGAGTTTCATGGCCTGGGTGGATGAAACATCCTGTCCCCTATTACCAAAAGATCGCAGAGGCAGGTACTCAGACACAAAAGGCATCCTAGAAAGCCTCTTTCTCAGCTCACACTGCAGACATATTTCTCTCTTTTRTTTCTTTTAACAGGAATCCACTTCTAGAAACAGCTCAATCACCTGAAAAAGGAGAGGCATTGGGTCCTGCAGCACCACTGGAATCTGAATGCTGGTTGCTCAGTCCTCTGAAATGTGAAGACTTGAGACCCTGCTCTCCCCCATCTCTGCATTCTCCCCCTCTGAGCTTTTCTGCTCCTCAGGAAGATGCAGAACCTTTCTCCAAGGACTCATCTTTTGGACTTTCTCCCCACAGAAGCAAACAGGATCGTGTGAGAGCCATTCATAATCTGTCCAAGGAACTTGCAGAAAAGATTGACGTGGCAAGGAAGAGGCTGAGTGCAGCGAGCTGGRTCAAAGCCTCTGCTGCCAGAACATCCACAGAGACACCTCTGGACCTTTACAGTGAGCCTCATTCTGCCCCAGAACCTGAGACTTGCAGGGATAAGCAAGACACAAAAAAGACTGTTAAAATACATCTGGACACCACAGATCCTAATGTGCCACCTGTGACATCCAACAGGGAATGCCATGGACTGGGCAGGATTCACCTGCTGGGCAGCAGTGAGGGAGCAACAGCCCTGGACAGGCAGAAGGAAATGCCAACTCCTCTGTCTGGTGGAAATGCTGAGGGGGAAGTATTGCCCTGGATCACTCACAGGGCAGGACAGAGAGCCCTCAGCTCTGGGGGAGACCTGAGTGACACATTGCAAGGTAAATCCTTCTGACAGGAYACAGGGAGGCTCAGGTGCCACTGCCCAGGTCTTTCAAAGCTACAAACAGGGGTTAAGCCTCATGTCCCCAAGGTTATTTATTGGAAGTKSTGTGTCTTGGAWAATCCCTGAGCAGTGRATSTCCTARRKTTTACTTYYATCCYCTCTCATTTTGCCTGTAAAACTWCAWCTCATAATTTTATCTGTGGATTTGMCASCAATTTTGGACAYATCACCTTCTGGTGCCTAGGCTTTCCCAGAAGTAAAAGAATTATAAACCTAAACCCATGGAGTTAAAAATCCGTGGATAAGAAGAGCTGTATGGAAGCAAAGTGCTCACGCATTAATAGGCAGCAAATAGATGCCAAAGCCTGGCCCATTTCATTTCTACAAAGAGCATATTTATTAAATGTCTTCATTTGTCTTTTTAAAAGGTTTCCCTGTGAATAAGAGCTCCGAGGTGGACATAATTCTACGGCATGAAAAGCCAATAACTAGCCCAGCCTCTCCAGCTCACAGATTCCTCACTAGAAGGTAATAAAGCTGGATATTTTATTCTCTGCTCAATGCACCTCAAGCCCTTGTATTTAAAATAAGGAGCACCAATTCAGCATGGAGTCAGACTCAGAGCAGTGGGTCTTCTAGGCTTCACTTTCTTCTGGGTCCATCTGTGAAATGACATCCTGTAATTTTATTTGTGCTTTTGCTACTGTTTTTGGGCACATTACTTCCCTTTCTGCTGCCTAGGCTTGCCCAGAAGTAAGAAAAGAATTATACACCCAACCTCATGTAGCTGGAAATCTGTGGATAACAAAGCTGGGTATATTATTGTCTGCTAAACGTGCCAAACGCACTTAAAATAAATAGCGGGAGTGGTGAGTTCCCGGGGCTGGTGGATCTCCGGGCTCGCTGGATTCCCCGGGAGCGGTCGGTGGGTCCCGAGCCCGGTGGGTTCCCGGGAGGAGTGGCTTCCCCTGGAGCAGTGGTTTCCCGGGAGTAGTGGTTTCCCCGGGAGCAGTGGTTTCCCCGGGATCAATGGTTTCCCCGCGAGCAGTGGTTTCCCCGGGAGCCGTTCGGGATCCCGAACCCGGTGGGTTCCCGGGGGCAGTGGTTTCCCCGGGAGCAGTGGTTTCCCCGGGATCAATGGTTTCCCCGCGAGCAGTGGTTTCCCCGGGAGCCGTTCGGGATCCCGAACCCGGTGGGTTCCCGGGGGCAGTGGTTTCCCCGGGATCAATGGTTTCCCCGCGAGCAGTGGTTTCCCCGGGAGCCGTTCGGGATCCCGAACCCGGTGGGTTCCCGGGGGCAGTGGTTTCCCCGGGAGCAGTGGTTTCCCCGGGATCAATGGTTTCCCCGCGAGCAGTGGTTTCCCCGGGAGCCGTTCGGGATCCCGAACCCGGTGGGTTCCCGGGGGCAGTGGTTTCCCCGGGAGCAGTGGTTTCCCCGGGATCAATGGTTTCCCCGCGAGCAGTGGTTTCCCCGGGAGCCGTTCGGGATCCCGAACCCGGTGGGTTCCCGGGGGCAGTGGTTTCCCCGGGAGCGGTCTGTCGATGGATCCCGAGCCCGGTGGGTTCCCGGGGGCAGTGGTTTCTCCGGTAGCGGTCTGTCGATGGATCCCGAGCCCGGTGGGTTCCCAGGAGCAGTGGTTTCTCCGGTAGCGGTCTGTCGATGGATCCCGAGCCCGATGGGTTCCCGGGATCAATGGTTTCCCCGGGAGCAGTGGTTTCTCCGGTAGCGGTCTGTCGATGGATCCCGGGCCCGGTGCGTTCCCGGCCGCCCCGGCCATGACACAGTTTCGCCACCGGAGAGCGCCAGCAGCCGCGGGCACGGAGCGGGACATCGCTAATGCCTTGGTAAAGCTCCCCCGGCCTCCTGCGTGCTGGGATTCATTAAAAAAAATAATTTCTAGTAATTGTTGGACTGATTTCTGCTCTGAGAGATCAGTTGCAAGGATTATGGAGCTGTTYTGTCACAGAAGATGGCAAATGTATAGAACATGAGCGCTGGGCACTCTGAGTGAGCAGTGGAGAGAGTCAGAGYTGTGTCTGCCCTGCATTAGCAGCTGTGGGGTCCATCACTCTTGTCGTGACACAACCCAAATTCACAGTAATGGTGGTAGGTACAGGACACCCTGGCCCAATGGAAACAGCCCCCCAGCTGTAAGGGACAAGCATCAAACCAAGGAGAAATAAGATAGATTGCACTGATCTGCTGAACAGTGCAATTACTGAGAAAGCAAAGCAGCCACAGTCAAAAAGTCCTCAGAGCATCACTGAAAAAAACRCCAATAAAAGCTCTCAAACAATAAATTACAGCCCTCTTGCAAGTGCTGCTTCAAAAGATGAGGAGAGCCACTTGCAGCTAAAATATCACTGTATTTAGAGATTAGAAGTGGAAAGCATTGCTAGATTGTGAATGACTCCAAACTCATCTCCTGGTGGGCTGAGGATTCCCTGTGATGCAGCAGCAGTGACAGTGAGGGGACAATCTAAAGACCACCCCATTTTTAACGCTTTCTTATCTACTGGTAAAGTAGATAATTAATACAAAGGCTCAGTGAAAAAGCCTGTCTTCTGCCCTCAGCTTTTATTTGCAGACAATCTAACTTTGCAGCTCTCCTGAAGCCTGCACACTCATAGGAAGCAAAAGGGAGTGAGTCCTTTGGCACATAGAGTGAGGCTCCCATGGCCAAGTTACTCTTGAAGTTGATCTGGTATGAATTGATTCATTACAAATCAGATCAGACAGACCTGATAAAGGASCGTCAGCGTGCTAAGGAAGTGACTGAGGAACTTTCCACAGTCATAATTTCTCCTGCTCCAGGAACATTTTCTCCGTGAGTGCATGAACGCTCTGTGGGGAGTGAACAGAGCCTGTCTCTTGGCTTGCACACAATCTTCACAGGCTGAGCTAACAGGAGGGGTCAGTGCTGTGTTCTTGGTCRTGTAAATCTGTGCCTGTAGAGCTCATCATCGGTGTAGCTAGAGCTGGTTTAGAAAATGTGATGGTAAAATCAGCTGAGTTGGCTCTGTGCTCTGACTGCCACTGTAATGGAGTTAGGAGTCCACATTTGGCTGTAACAGACCAAGAGCTCTCTGTCTCAGAGAGCTCATCTGAACAAAGCCACCTGTTAAAACCGACTGCGTGCCGGCCTCATTCACAAACACAAAACATCCAGCGATCCAAACGCAGCACTCTTGAGCATGACCTTCTCCACAGCCAGTTTCAACAGCACGGTTTGCTGTTTACATGTTTAATTATAGCTCTGAAAACAGCGACTCGTGTTCATGCACGAAATCCCACAGGTGCCTGTTTCCATAAGAAATGTTCCCATTTCATGCCYGGCTGCTCCGCTGTCCGCAGGGGCGGCTGGCAGAGATTTGTTGCTGATGCAAATGACTCACTGATGGGAATTCTCCAAACCGCCAGAAAATGCGTGGGCAATTCCATCTTATTTTGTTTCAGTTACCTCTATAAGTGGCTACATTCTCAAGAGTCAAARAAATGATCCCATTTTTGCTGTAAATTCAGATTTGAAAGTGCTCTGGGTGGCTTCAGAGGGTGGGACAGAGRGTGATGGCTGGAGAGTCACCTATAGGATCACAGCTCTGCCTCCTCCTGCAGATCCTGCACTTCTCTTTAGTGCAAACCCAAAGGGCCTCATCTGGGAATTGTGGTGGTTTGTRCAGAGCTGGCTGTGTCTGGAAGGGCAGGTGTTGCTGGCTACTCCTGTGGAAAGCCAGCATTTTCTGTAGAATCTGCATTGATTTCCACTGATGCCCTTCCCAGGACACAGACCTTGGCATCAGCCTYCCCAAACAGAAGGAGGCATTTCCCAAGAGCCAAAGAAAACAGTGCCTAAAAAAACCATCATAACACAAATGCAGAGACAAAACTCAGCACATTTGCCCAATGAATATTAGAACTGCTTTTTAAGAAATCCCTGTTTCCTCTGTTCTTTCTCTCTCAATCCACCTTTGCTCCCACCTACATCCAAGACGCGTTAGTRGAAGCTGTACTAATCGTTTTAGCAGTTTCTGGGTCATGAAAAACAAAGAAAAGCTTATTAACGAGAAAAATGAAATAAGATTTCCCTAAGCTGATTGCTGATAAAAAAAAAATTTCCACATTCATTTTTCTGTATAAAAAAAGAAAACATCTGTCACCATTTCAGTGTCTCAGTGTCCCTGCATGTGGTTCAGCTGAGGCTTGATCAATAAATGCCTATTTTCACACCTTCTTTCCTAATCTTTTTAGTTAAGCTCAGATAGTTACAAACCAAAACAAAGTAAAATCAGTTCGCTGAGGTCTTCGTCTGCGGGACTTGGTGCTGACATTGTTTTGAAATATTAAAGTGTATATATCACTCCCAGATCTTAGTTGGGCCACAGCCATGCTCAGCACAAATCCCAGAAACACTGGAACAGAGCTCAGTACTTTGTGTTTCTAAACAGATTTCTTTGCCAAGGTTCAGAGCCGGATTGTGCAACCAAGTCCCAACAATGGCACGGATTGTACAATGCAGCCCTCATAAATTAAGCTTCCACACTGTAAGATTGTTGTTTCTATTTGCCACCAGGTTGAAAAATACTCAGCTCTTTCAGAGCAGTAATTAGAGCAGGTAAAAATGAGTGTTGTTAGCTTTCCTGACAACATCAAGGTACAAGACAAGAGAGTTTGCACGTTGGCAGGTAGGATTTCTCAGGAGCCTTTTGTTTCCATTTGACAAAATGTAATAGTTCTGTTAAAATGAAATAACCGGGGTTTTTTTCAGTTCAAAAGATTGCTTTATACACATCTCAGAAATGCAGTAATTGTTGTTGTTACCTTGACACAGCCCGGTGGGAGAACTCAGAGCACAGAGGGATCACTATGGATGTGAGCCTATTTTGAAAGTTCAGAACCAAGAGGAAATGGCCAAGCAGTCTCCTGGAGAGATCCTGAGGATCTGGGACAGCCTGAGCTTCCAGCCCTCTGCCCCTCTGAGCACTGATGGCTTTGAGAAGGATTTGGGTAAGGTGGCATCTCCTGGAGGGTCACTCAGTGTCCTCCTGAGGTACTTCTTGTGCTGCTGCAATAGAATGAACRGTCCCTCATTGCAACAGAATTCTTGCTAATGGTTCTGACTAGGGTTGAAAATCTGGGGTGCAGGGGAATTTCAAATAGATAGCTCGTGCTCCAGATTTCGAAGGTGAAAAATGGGTATATGAAAAATTCTCAACATTCATGTACAATCTAAGAGATAATATGAAATTATTATGAAAATTGCATCAAATGCCATAGWAACTCTTTGCCTTTTCCATGCTGTGCTGTCACAGGTGTGAATTCAGCTCACAGTGACAGCTACAGATGGAACAAACCCCWTTTAGCTCAGAGACATTTCCAGCACCTCACAGCCTCATCTGAAGGTCTCTGGGAGCCTTATAATTAACTCTTCATAATTACCCATCCGAGCAGTGTGGGATGTKGTCCTGTTTGGACAGCAGGAGACATCAAGGCACAGGACATGGGCAGAGTGCAGGGGGAATGCAGGGATGTGCTGCAGGGTGTTTAGGGCTGGCCAGGCTGCAGGGCATCACCACTTCTGCCCCGAGCAAAGGTYTGCACGGAAACAAGGGAAAGTTTGTGGCTGAAAGGGTTAAAAGCCGACCAGTAGCGTGCAGACCGCTCTGTCTGAAGAGATCTCTGCCTGCTCCCACCAAACASGAGCAGATGGTGCATTGTTTTAAGGGCTTTTCCGAGACAAAAGGACAAGATCAGATAACCTTTCCTCAAAGAGGGTACTTACAAAAAGCCTTTGCTCTTATTAAGGATTCTTCATTGTTTTCCTCACAACATTTTATACATAATATTGGATTTTGGGGTGATGGGGAAGCCAGCATTGTTTACTGTGCTTCTCCCCCACCCCCAAGGGACCAGGAGGGCATCTTAGATGATTGGGCAGCAAGGCTGTTGTCTGAAGTGTTTCACCCTAAGCGAAAGACAACCTATTTATTTACTATTAATAACTAAGGGCCCCAGTTCTGCAAGACCCAGCCATCCACTATTCACCATGGGAACAATAGGAGCTGCTGCCTCATGTGTCTGCCAGGAGAAACCTTTCCCTTCCCTGTGTATTTGCAGGAGCTGCCAGCCCAGAGCTGGACTGGGAAGCAGCACTCACACCACTGTCATGCTGAACACAATGTGGGTTTGAAATATGGGTCACAAGTGGGTCTGTCACCACCCTGAGCAGGGACAGGGCATTCAGACCCGAGGCTGCATTGTCTGCTTGGAAGCATCACCCTGCAGTTGGTTCTGGCCTTTCACAGGGCACAGAAGTCAMCGTGCACACGCAGCATGATGAAGTGTAATTCTACAACTGCTGCCAAATGGACAAATTTACCTTTCCAAGGGACACACGTCACCTCACCACCCACTGCTGTGCAAAAGAAAAATGTTCTGTAGTAAATATACTTGGTAAAATAACGAATTTCGTTTCAAACCACTTAAAGCAGAGAGAAGAAGATATTCACAAAATGTTTGTATCTGTTTACTACCTGGGGTAAGACAGTGAACTTGTCATGAATTGTTGAATTTTCTTTTTAAACACAGCCAGTATAATATCCAGAATTGCAAATCCTGTAAGCGCATGCTGTGATGAACAAAAATTGTCTCCACAGGTAGCACTGGGAAGTATTTCACATAGCTCTTGCATGAATTTCTCATCAGTTTAGGCACAAAACTTGGTATAACTAAGTGAGCTGATAAGGAAGGCATTTGCACATTACACCACTACRTAAAATCTYYCTGTCATTCCTGCCAAACCACCAGYTCTCTCCCACAGGGATCTGAGATGAGCTATCATTTCCTTGATACTTCAGCATGTCCTCTGAATACAGCCCACAGTATCCAAATTTTAGTATTTCTGTTAAACAAATAAATACATCATTAAAAAAAAAATCCAGCATTCTTCCTGTGGCCCTTCCTACAGTGTAGGGATTGGCCTTTGAGCCAGACTGGACTGAATGAGCCAGAAATCTCATTTCATCAGACCAGAATTTTGTTTCCTTTTTCTTTTGTGTTTGAGAGATAATGCAGTTTAAGCTGAAACTAATTGTTAAAAAAAGTATTTTCTAAATGTTGAAGCTTAAGCATGGCTACTGTTTTAAAGTAAGTTGCACTAGGAAAGTGCATTTAGTGTTTCCTACTGTTCTTGAAATGAAGAATTTTAATCTGAATTACAAGGAAAATATACGTGTATATAACATCTTTCCCCTAAAATGCTGATTGACATATTTTCTCATATCACTAGAGGGAGCTGCCTTCTTGCTTCTAGAAGAGAGAGAAATTATTAAATTAGTGGAATCAGCACAGAAATGTATCAGCATGGCTCCAGCTAATTGTGCTCTGGTTGAGAGTGCTGAGCCAAGGCAGCTCTTTGTGTTCCCTCCCAATCCTAGGTTGTGTTTTGTATTTCACACAGCTCCAGTGAGCTCCAGGACCTCTGGAGCTGTCTACAATGATGGTGCTGTTGATTGAGGGAGTTCAGAATCATTGATGAGCAAAAGAAGGAGCATTCCATGGAAATCCAGGGTTCTGGTTAGGTGCAGGTTCAGGCCCAGCTCTGTTGCTATCCTGAGCCAAGATGTGACAAGGGGCAGCACAGGGTGAGGGACTGCCATGTGCTGCAACATCTGGCTGGAAGCTGAACTCAGGCCAGCCCTCCACACCAGAGGATTTAGACATAAACACAGAATATGCAGGGCACAGGAGCAGCCTGGGCCRCATTAATCCCCTTGTTTGGTGAGCAGCTACTCTGCAGTGCTAAATGGGATAGCAGACGTGTTTAGAGAGGAGAGAAGGACCTGATCCAGCAGCTGTGGAAATACAGATTCTCCAGGGTGCTCAGGAGTGCAGAACAGCCCATGGATCTCCTGAAGGAACAGGCAGAGCCTTCACGTTCAGTGTCTCTTCCTCAGGGGTTGCTCTTGGCTCACAGATCTTGCTGAAAAAGGGTCAAACAGCCTGTGCTGCATTTCTCACTGTGATCAGGAGTTGTCAAACCTCTTTTCTTCCGATTACCTGTCATCACTGCAGCTCCCTTCCTGCACAGAGAGTGCTGAAATCCTGGGTGGTATTTCACCTTACCTGAAGAGCATCCTGAAATAATAAAGCAATTGAGGTAACACAGTAAATCTGGAGAGGGGAAGAATTGCCCAAATGGAGGCAAATGGGGCAATTCCTTTTGGATCAGCTGCTCCACTCCACAGCAGCATTTTAGGACACTTTACACCACATATTCATTCACCTCCAAGCAATAATGCAGAAAAAGTTGTGCTTACAGCTGAAGTTGCAAGTACGTATTTTTATAATAACTGGGTTGGTCTGATTGCTGACATGGGCAGAAAGAGAAAAAGCTGTCCTTGAGTAAAGCAGCAGTAAATGCTTCTGCCTTGCTTCAAGTGATTAGAAAAATGAGACTTTTAGCTTGGCTTTTTTAATTATATGTCAGGGAGATTCTACAGGGCTTTGCTGAGATTCTGCAGGTGCAGCGGAAAGTGATTTAATAAATAGCATTTTTTTTCACAAGGCTGAGTGTATGCACATTGAAGCTATCTGGGTAGGCAGTAAATGCCATTCATCATCACCTAAAAGGACGTGAAGTTTAGCCAGATGGTATTTTCTTTAATGCAGGATGTTGCAACACAAGAAATGCATCTGGAAATAGCCACAATTAGGAAAATTATGTTCAAAAGGAGGGAAAACAGATCAGAGCAAACTTTTTAATCACTTTGAGGTCAATGCCACTGGCTGGGCTCTGGCCAGAGTAACAAGAGCATTGTTCAGTTTGAGGCACAAATTGAAAAGATTTGTCAGGTTTAAAACTATATCCTAACAGATCCTTCAGACATTAATATTAAAAGATACTCATACAACTAARTATCAATACATTTATCTTGTATTTTTTTTATCAAATGACCTTATCTGTTAGTATTGAAAACCCTTTTGAAAGTGCTGTCTGTGGACCCACTGATGAATTGTCTTTTTTTTTTCCTATTGCATTGCTTAAAACCACTATGAAACTTCCCTGTAGAAACAGCAGCCCTTTCATGCTCTCCATTTTCCTAAATAGGTCATTTCACAAAATCATCTCTAGYTAACTATCAGCATTAAAAATTCTGAATCAGTCCTCAAAATTAGAAAGATAGGCTAAAACCAAAAATATTTCTAAAAAGATGAACTCTTAATTTGGCATGTCTAGATAATTTAGTATTTAAACTTTGCCTTTCCAAATGACCCCCCAAAGCTGGGAAATTATCAAAATATAAAATATGAGATTCCCATCCAGACTCTTGACTCTGAAAAGGACAGGGTTAAGAGAAGCCTCCTGTAGTATCACTGTAGGAGGAAAGTGAAATCTGCAATCAAGCTGTTTATARAAACAGCAGCATTCTAATAGAAAACCTGCACCAGGCGCAAAGATTTAATATTTTATTTTGCTCACACCCACATAAACACAAAACCCATCCTGGCATGCAAACAAGCCCACATCTCAGCTCCTTCTGTGTTAAAGCTTCTTCAGTCTGTAAAGCAAAAACAGACTGTATGTCATGGGCTTATCCTGCACCATGGGGTAATTTGGATTCAGGTGACCTGGACAGATATTTTATCTCAAGTTTCCAAGTCAGACCTATTTCTATTTATGACCCACACTTCAATTCTTTTATGACTCTGGTTGCTGTGACAGTAGCACAGCACAGAATAAACACACAACCTGTTTGCATAAGCTGAGCAATTCATCTGAGAAGCTCAAGCAGMCAAGAGCATTTCTCTGGTAAACAAAATATCAGCTGCACAGTCACACACAGGCAGGGGAGGAACAATGAGGAAATAGCAGTGAAATAGGGGCACCTGGAACAAGAGGGAAACATCCCCACCTAAAAAGCAACACTTTTTCCAGGGGTTTGTGTCCCCCTGTGACAAAAGAGAGAGGAATYGGCCTGCACCCCTGTACAGATGGAGGGGACTCATGGGAGGCTGCTCGAGTTCCCAAAGAAGTTACCAGATTGAGAAGCTTTTGTTCTGTACCCACTGGCTCTGATCCTGTTGGTGCAGCAAAGGAGCAGTGGGACCAAGAGTTACAATAACCCACACTCTGAAATTGAGGTTTAGAACAGGAATTGTTCCTCAATCCTTCTCTGGCACAGATCCTCAAATCTGCCTCTTCCCAATGCTTGTAGGACTTCATGCTCACACATTTCTTGACAGGATGTAGGTACTGACATTTTCCTTCTATAGTTATGGTAGAAATAAATGTATKCAGAGAAGTTATTTCAGGAATAAAAGCAGATGTCAGATTTGGGAGGCTTCCAAAAATAGGCCCAGGGAGGATTCAAAAGGAAAATGCAGTTAGGAACAATGTACACACTCCYCTTGTGATGATCCCTTTTTTGTGTATCAGGTCTCAGGCATGTTTTGGGAGCACAGTCAGGCCTGCAATGCAGCAGAGAAGGCTGAGAAGTGGATGCTCTGGAATCCTGTTGGAAACACCTTGGTACTGTTAGATTATTTACAAGGTATCCTGGGCTYAGTGGTGACCCTGCTAGGAAAACAACTTTGTAAATGCTTAAATCCCAAAGGACTTTGACAGTGTACAAACAAACTTTCAGAGCAGCAATTGGAATATGGAGGAATCTGCTTCAGCTGTCTCCCTTTGGTTAACTCTGCTATTTCTCCATCTGGCACCCATTAATGAAACACCGATATTTTAAAATTAAGAAATGGYGACTGTTACCATCTATTTCCTAAACTTCTGCAGGTAAGGGAGATCACAGCTRCACAGACCTGGAATACAAACACAGGAACCACCTGGACATTTTGAGGCAAACCTCCCTACTACTGGCTCACAAACTGAAGGTCAGTRGGCAACCTGTGTGAGGAGCAAAGGGAATTCCAATTCCCAGGTAACAAGGTGCTCCCTATGCCCAGTTTCAGGTGTGCTTAGGCTGGAATTAGTCAGCATCAGCTGATGTGAGTCAGGCTCATAAACCCCATGGACTAGAAAGGAGAGGTGCCAACCCTCCTTTCCTGTTTAGAGATCCCAGTGTAGCTCTGGTGGGTAAGAAGATGTTGCTATGCTGCAGCCAAAATGGCATTTGTGCTGCCTGCTGAGGGCAGGAGGATGTGACAGGATGTGGCTGTGCAGCTCCTGTGCTGCCCTTTGCTCTCAGGTGTTGTGTCACCTGGTTAAAGATACCGTTTATAATGTGTCACTTCCTAACACAGCTTCAGCAGCTCCAGCAGAAACAGCAGCTTATGGTGCTGAGGCAGAGAGCAAAGCAAGAGGTTCAGCAAAGCCAAAGGTTTTTGAGAGCCCTGCTGCAGCACAGTTCAGAGGTAAGTTATGATTTCAGACCCTGGGTTAACACCTCTAGRCCCCAACTCTCATGAGAGCAGCTCTAAATACACAGCAATTTATGAGCTGTTGTACCATCTTAGCCCACAGAGTTTTCTCCCTTGGGGTAGTATCCAGCCCATTAATTAATCCTACTCTTTAGGTATTGTTGGTGTAGGAAAAGCATTATCTACCACCAGGGGCTTTGCCGAGTAGGTGAGGAAAAAAGGCTTAAATGTTGTGCCTTTCAAAGAGATCATTGAGGTKTGTGACAATTTCTGTGTGTGCAGGAGAGCAGGAATTCCAGAGGCAGARATCCTTCTGTGACAAGGCAGTACCACGCAGAGCAGACACTGAGAGGACACTGGCTGGAAGGTGACCTTGCTGCTGGCAGGTACAGGAGGCAGAATACAGCAAGGCCCTCTAAGGATTTGGCCTGTGGTTTGCCTGTGTGAATATTTTGGGGGGACTAAAGTAAATGTAATATAGTCTTTTTACTCTGATTTATGCCCAAACTACAGTATTAACACCTTTACAATGTTGTGGGAGATTCTGCATTTTTTTTAGCTGTAAACTCTCTGAAACTTGCGTGAAAAATACAGTTTTTTTTCATTTTGCTTTGCCATCATATCCCTGCTGTGAATTAGAATATTGTATGTGCATTTTTTTATGTTCATTTAAAGTAGCATAAAGACTTGAGAATTGCTGCTAGGGTCTTATGGATGCAATTACCAGAAAGGCACTTTTCCACAGGTAAAACTTTCAGTATCACATAAAAATGAGCAGCATTCTGGTTTGAAAAAKATTCAGCCTCCACAGAGGACTTGGCTGTGAAAGCTAGGAATTGAAATAATATATGCAACTGCAATAAGAAAATATTTCCTTTTTCTTACTTTCAGTAATCAAGAGATGGGTTCACTGAGACAATTTGCATTGAAGACAGAAAGAGATCACAGTCCAGTGGATCCCAAAGTAGTGGGAGAAAGAAAACCTCTAGGAGGAGGAGAAGGTTCATTTTGCTCAGTGCTTCAAGGAGGTGAGCATGAAGTTATAAGGAGTTTCATGGTACTGGGAAAATGCCCCATTTACTGTGACCTGGAACACAATCTACCAACTAATGTTGAAAATTGTGACTTAAATAAGTATGTTCATTGTGCATATTTAATCCATGGCGATCTTCTTTTGTACTCTTAATCCTTCTAAGAAAATCATATTGGTGCTGAGAGTTATTTACCCTGTTAACGGGTCTCTTTAAGTTTTTCACAAGTGAAATCATGATAAATAAGTAAAAGTTAATGTCCTTACCTTGCTCCTGGAAGTGAACAGCTGTGGGGTCACTCCTTCAGCTCCTACTGAGGGCAGTGCACAGGCATGGCTGATGAGGATTTGTCAAAGGCACCTTGAATGGTTGTTAACTTGTACTGTGGGAGATGGYTTTTGGGTCTCTTTTTTTCCTTCTGTTTTAGATCTTTTATTTATGGTGACATTAATTCTTTTTCTTGGAATCCCTGCCAGCAGATCACAGGCAGTCTCTGCACAGCCATCACACCTTGAATCTGTTGTCACCTCGGGTGAATCTGCCCCACGGTGAGATTTGGGACAACTCCACAGAGAGCAGTGACCAGGCCAGCTCTGACAGCCAGGTAACACCAGCTCCTAAAGCACTTTGAAAGTGTTTATTTCTGTGGGCTGCTTTCTTGTTTTGGTTTTAATCCCTCTATCAAACCGTTCACCCAATGACGCCGATGCTCTGCTCTGTCCCCAGCAGAGCGCAGCCATTCCACCTTTGGGAGACATCAGCACTTTGCACGGTTGCAGTCTGGCCGTGGTGGAGCAGTGTTTGAGGGGACAGGAGCTGCGTGCTCGGCACCAGGCTGTGCTGCTGAAGCTCCGGAGAAAAGCTCTGCAGGAGAGGGCCATGACCCAGCTGGCCTGGCTGGGCCACCGCAGACGGTGAGGGGACATGGGGACAGGACCGGGGGAGGCCCACTCGGCCGGGATGGGCTTTCCTGTTGCCTTCAGGGAAGGCAACAAATATAAAATCTTCTTTGAAAGTATGTAATGCATGAGGAGAGGAAAGGAACCTGCATGGTTTTGGTGTGTCCAGAGCAGAGTTGAACTTCTACTGCGGCCTTCTTGCATGAGGAGCCCTCAGGGATGGAT